ATTGAGGGGCAAACCCCACAAAAATTTATTTTCCATGCTGTAGCAGTGGGAGGGGGACAAGGTCAATACAACCTCTAATAATTAGATATTATACATGGAGAATTATAACACATTCATACATTTTCCATATATAGAATCAAATTATTGGGGGTCACCTTATAATCAGGGTCTTATATTCAAGTAAATATGGTAACATACAAAAACTAAACTAGATGTTTCACAATTTAAGGAAAAACATTTTTAAGGTTGTCTTTGGGTACAGAAAAACAGAATAAAAAAACATGCTAATGTCTCTTTAAAGAGTAAAGTAATCAGTTCTTATGAAATACAGGCCCATTTAAAGACGCAAGGAAAATTACTGGATGATATAATTTGATCAAAGGTTGTGTCTCTACTCATCTTCTCTTTTTATACAATGCTGCATTTCAATCCTAGAGCTAAATATGTGATATTAGCCCATTCTGTAACAGAAGTCAAGCCAGAAGCAATTAGATATGCTGCATGAGTAAAAAAGCTCAAAACAAGACAGATGAATTGAATCAGTTGCACACTGTTATTTGAACCCCAACAGGACATACATATCAGTCTCTAGATATCTAGATATCTATATAATACTTCTACATAAATATGCTCTATATGAAATACCTGCATACTAAAATACTACTGCTATTATAATGCCACACCAGTTTCCTTCATGGCAGAAAAACATATTTTCAATGTGCTAAATGCTTAGTTATTTACTACTTGACTCCTGGTTAGTTTCACTATCGTTATATTAAGTGTAAAAAGTAACCATGATCTGGATTGTTCCCTTTGTTTTTTGACATGTGCAGGAACCTTCTAAATATCCTCAAATCTCAGTGATTATCAATTAGGGTACTGTACAATATTTGCACTGTTATGTATGCAAATATCTGCACCAGGGGTGTCAAACATCTCCAGCTCCAGCTCCAGCTCCATGGAGCCCCTTAATCTAGTTTTTAGTGCTGTCTCTCTTGCTGTGCCAGACCATCCCTTTAGTGCCTAGAATGCATGCTGCTTTCAGTGCTCGCTGGACTGGGTCCCATGCTACGCTGCCCACTCCACTTGCTAGAACTGGGTCCTGGGTTGTGCTTCTTGTGGTGCTTGCTTGAGCTGGTCTGGGGCTGCACTACACACTGTGCCCTCTTAGGCCAGCATACTAGACTGGCCTGGGTTGGTGCAGCCTGTGCAGGATCAGACAGAGGGAGAAGGGGGCGTGGAGGGTTAGGTCCCATGGGCCTGATTCAGTCTGTAGACCAGCCTTCAGTCTAAACACTTTGTGAAACATTGCTCTATCATCTATCCAGTAGGGAAGGGGGATACAATGCATGACACTACTTCTTGGAGTCTGAGCTTTCACCTCTTTGCATCTGGAATCCATCATGGGAGTAACAGGGACAGAAACTGGGTGGACACCAGAGGGGTAACAGATGCACATCATTTACTCTTTAGTCCTGGTCAAGCTTTTCTGAAAAGATAATAGTCTAGAGTGGGGGCAGTACCAGCTTTTATACACCCCATACGGTGGCAATTTCAGCAAAAAGATGCCTCTTCACAGAACTGAGCCAAGCTGCTGCAGATTTCAGGAGAGAGACAAGACAGATAGATAGTCTCCATACAAGCACCTTACCCTCCCAGGAATCTGCCTTATTTGAGGAATATATACTCAGCCTTTTATACGGAAAGTTAATCCCCTTCCTCCTAAAGAGAAAATGTGGTAACTGCTCTGCAAGGGAGAAGACTAATAAGCAATGTGCATCTGGTTCAGTCACTCCATCCCTCTTCGGTATTCACCCAGTTTTCTGTCCCTGTTACCCTATGAGGATCCCAGATGCAAAGACCCGGTAGTTCAGATTCCAAGGAACAGTGTCATGGATTGTATTCCCCCTTCCCTCCTAGAAGATGGGAAACGTGCAAAGTTCCCAAAAGGAACAATCCTGACGGCATATCCAACATAGTATACAGATTTTCTACCAGAATTAGAACAATATTTCAACAGTACAGGGAATGAAATGGTTCCACATACCCAGAAGGAACATGATAAAAGATATACAAATATTTTTTTCAAGTCGGAAATTCTGTTTACTTGCATTTCTAGGTGGAAATCTAATGGCATTTTTGTGAGCATTTATAACCATCTTGTTGAAACTCACATAAATAATTATATGCGAATTAGCACTATTTGTAATGTAAACAGGGAAAATGCAGACATTATAAGACTGTTTGATGTATCTCTATTTCACTTCGCTGTCTGTGAAAAGTTTTTTAAGACAAATCAAGCAAGCAATTCTGCAAGCATAAATCTCTAAGAAATTACTACAACTTGTAAAACTGCAGGTCCTTTAAAGACCATTAATAGACACCGTAGAATCTGTAACTTAAAATGCCATCATGTCCCAAACATTCATTACCTGAAATTTCTCAAACTTCTCTTGCTGGTTGGTAGTCTTGCAAGTGAAGTGAAAATTTCTTCCAGTATCAATTGTCTATGTTTTTCATACCTTGAGAAAACCTGTTTAACAGTATAGGATTTAAAAATATGTATTACCGATCATGTTTTGCAGAACACAAAATAAATGTATACCACAGGTATACAAGTGACCATGTTTTTGGAAACCAACGGTTCTTCATAAAATTATTTGCTACATTTCTCTCTTTAAGTAATACAGATACAACTTCCTGAACTATACTGTATTATCACCAATAATGATGCATAGAGAGTTATGCCAAATGTAAACAATAGTGGTGTAAACTACGTTGAAAGTTTGAAAAATACAGGATCATTTTTTCTGCAACTTTAATGTATGGCCATAATATGATGTGGAACATTGTATCTTTTACACTTTCTGAGAAATCTGTTCCATTTAATGTCTTAAGCTTTGGTGCTTGGCTCATATGTAGTATTTGACTAGTAGTAAGGTCAAAGTTGTGCAGTTTATCATTTTCTGTTTAAAAAATATTGCCTGTATACAGTGAATATACTCTCCCTGCAAAGGAAGATAAAGTGTGAAACAAATATGCTTCTTAAAGAGAATCATCTGAGATGATTTTTCCAATTTAAAAATATATTTTTAAATGTTATGTTTTCAACCCATAATTTTACATCATGGATTTTCCCTCACTTATATTTTCCAAGGAAAACATAACAAGTAAAAGAATTACTAGCTAGTCCAGCAACTTATCCTACTGCATACACTCAAACCATGGTGATGCAAAATAAAAAAAAAAAAGCAATCCCTATAAATACATTAAGGCAAAACATATTGCTATTATTCCTTCGAGAACTGAAGACAGAGTAGGAGACAGGGCAATTTTTTCTTATTAATATTTTAAAAAAATAGTGCACCACTTAACCAAGATAAAGACGCAAGATCTTTTAATTTTGTTTTGTAATATAAAATCTAAGGCATGTGTCTGCACTGGTATAGAGATAAGATGGAGGGCCTAACAGCTATATCCTTTATATAAGCTTTCTTTTTAAAACTCTAAGGAAGCCTAATTTTAAAATTTGTTCAGAGATTAAAAAGAACTTACTGCAGTCACTAGTTTGATGGCGCATAACTGGAGTTCACTGACATTTTCTACAAAAAAAGGTGTTATCCCCATTGATGATACCTGTCAACAGTAATAAATTACTATAAATACATATTCTTTCGTCTAAATTAATATTTTAAGCTGTTTATTTCCCAGGTAAATTCTCTATTTTTCCCCACTCTGCAATTAAAGGACACATTTTATAATATTATTTTGAAGTTTTAATCTTAATTTTATGAGTATGATGAAGATCTAATCAAATCAAATGTTTATTCTGTTTAAAGTTGGCTTATAAAATATGTAGTCCAGTTACTATTAATATTACATATTTTAAACCACTAACAATATAATTTAAGTGATTAACTAAATTGCATCAAGTTTACATTTAATGTTATTCCCTGAGACAGTCAAATATTTGAATCACTTTGTAAAACAACAATACATTTTCAGAAGGAAATTCTTCCAGTTTAACTTGCCTGAAGTATAGTTGTATCAGTGAGGAGTTGTATCTCTAGCAACTCTGACAAACTGCTAACAATGTCACAAACTTTGTTATAAAGCATCACAATAACCCTCTGTTTGTGGGTGGAACACTTGGCACGCTTTGCTTTTGAACTTAACACGCCTCCTAGGAAATAATAAAATAAATACAATGTTTTGTTTTCCAGTTCTTCAGTTACTTTTCAGTCAATATTAGGAATAGGAGAGTTCTTAAAACAGCCCTTAAGAATCCAACTTTTTTTGTTTTATTAACATCAGTGCTAAAGAACAAAAATAATCTTGTTTAAAGGTATGAATTTGGAAAACAAGGATTTCCCACTGCAGATAATTTATTATAATAGTAGTAGATTTTAGAAACAAGATCTTTAAGGAGGTCCCTAAATTTAGAAAGTTACATGCATCATGTATGTCGTCAAGTGGTCTGATTTTCAAAAGTGTAGAGCATCAAGCAGTTCTCCCTTAAATAAATGGAAGCTGACAAATATTCTGGGATTAAGAGTAGCAGACCCCTTAATTCATGGACACAACAAACACAGGTGCCAGCCTTAAACACAAACTATAAAAACATCTTAGCCCAGATAGCTAATTTCTGTTATTTGGGTACTTTTTGATAGTCCTTTGTTACTGCTTGGGTAACAGGAAGATGGGTTTTATCCACCCTGTTATTTTAAACTAAATTTGTCTTCCTCAAATCAGAAGCACCTGCTTTATGCCATACTAGAAAGGACTGACTCGGAACCTCTCATATTTGTATCATTATACTAACCACCATGGGGATCCACCCTGTAAACAGGATCATACTGAGGATAAAGTGTGTTCTGCAGATGAAATTTAGTGTACTGAATAACTCTTTCTATTACATCCTCAATATATACAGCTTTAGGCATATTGGGTGATGTCATAATGTTGATAGCTGTAAGGCAAGCATCAGCGGATTTTGTGACTCTCTCCATAATAAGATCTCTCCACAATCTTTCCTCATCTTCAGTGTCATTGTTCTACAAAAGAAGAAAAAGAAAGTTTGAATGAACTAATAGCCTGAATGAACTGTTTATTAAAAAAAGAATGCATTTAGAAACAAAATTAAATTTGACTGTTTAATATTATATGGCAGATTGCTTAACCTTACTAAAAAAATATAAGAGCAAATTTATATTATTAAAAATATACCAAATGATGTATGATCTATATAATCAGAGTACTGTCCCAATTTTATAAATGTATGTTCCATTTTGTTACTGAAAAATACAATTAATATTGATAATGCCTCCCTAAATTACTGGTACTGTTAGTGTGATGTTGTAAATACAACTGTCCAGGAATTATGCAAAAGCAAGGATTTTTTTGAGAGATATCTTTTATTGGACCAACTGTATAGTTGGAATAGAATTAGCCAAGATTCTGAATGCAAGACCTGATGAAGAATGTCTTGCATTTGAAAGCTTTTCTAACTCATTCCGAACTATAGAGTTGGTCCAATAGAAGATATCACTCTGTGAAATCCTTGCCTCTTATTTAAATTAACCTAAGGTATCAAGGACAAAGTCACCTTGAGAGGCACAAAGTTTATTATTTCAAGGCTAATATGGAAAGAGATTTCTCTATTCACTAGCAAAGACTGGACTACCTCAAGGAAAAATTCTATCCCGATATAATAATTCCTTGTTTTGGCTTTGACCAATTCCTATTTTCACCACTAGATGGAACTCTAATACAGAAAGACTTTTGCAAGCCACATGGAAATCATGAGGATAATTTTGGCAGACAAGGTTCTTTGGGTGAATCTGATATCTTTTATTAGACCACCTTAAATAGTTGGAAAACAATTTTTCAGCAAGCTTTTGGGTTCAAAAAAGTAAATAAAAGATATCAGATTCACCCAAAGAACCTCGTCTGCCTATGTCCTTAGGCCAACACGGCTACAACCTATACCTCTGTAACTGAGGATAATCTTTGCTTTCTACCTTTTGAACCTTCTTTGAACATACAGAATTGAATAGGCTTAATATCACATTTCTCTGATTCATCTATTTAGATTAAGTTCAAGACAGGGTATACACATAGGGTATAGCACAACAGTCATAAACCTGACTGGGGCCACTAGACCAGGGATTCTCTACCACAGTGATGCAGCTCCCCAGGGTGTCCAAAGGTGACATGGTGCCTGGTCCCTGTGCCAGGACGTAAACAATTGCTTGTCCTCTGTCCCAGTACCAAGCACCTCAGCATGCCACAGACAAGTAGTGCCTATAGCTGTTCCCCACATCCTGGCACGTGCAGGCAAGTATGCATATGTAGGGCCACTGGGCTGTACTGTTTCCCCCCTGCACCTTCCTCCCACGCAGGAGGGGAGCTACAGTTCCAGGTAGCGCTGGTTGCTGGTATTAGAAAGTCACTGGAGGAGCAGCCTTAGTGGTGGAAATAGCTCTTTGCTCTCAAGGAAGACAGCAGACAGTGGAAAAGCAGGGTGTATTAAGGTGATGTCCTGCCCCGCCCCCACCCGCTAGTAGGTCAATAGGTTAATTTAAAAGTGAAGCTGTTATAATGAAAATCTTGTGCTTATGTGCCTTAAACTGTAAAAGGAGAAAGAGAAATCTCACTTGTCTCAGGTGGTAGAAAATATCTGCAAAAAAGCTTTGCTTTGTTCCTGGCATGCTTAAAGTTTTACTGACATATATCAAAGTTATGCCAGTTACTAGTTATGCAGGCGTTAAGGAAACTCTCAGATGACAGCAATACGTTAAAACTAAAACCAGTAAAAAGACAAATAAACCACTCTGATTTTTATACATATTTCATAAAAAAAGAACACAATATAAAAAACAATGTAATTAAGCAAGTATTAGCTACTACTTATTGAACTGCATAAGAAAGATTTGGAAAATTACAACAACCCTTCAAATATGATACTTTATTAATTATATGCTGATTAAAGCAGAAGTCACTTACAATTATAAATGAGACTTTGGAACTATGAACAAACAAGATTAAAAACAACAGTAACATTTCTAACATCATAGCAATGCCAATGAATATGATTTGAAACTTACATGATTTAGTAATGTTGAAAGCTTCGAGCCATCTTGAATATTCTTTTCCAAGATGTTCAGGACTTTCACTGTTTTATCTGTTGACAGCTAAAATAGGAAAATAAGAAAACACACTTTTGTAAAATCAACTGAAAGAGTATGAGCAAATTATCTGCAGATGGTACAGAAAAGTGTGTACACAGAAAACAGCACACTAGATAGTTCTGCTGTTAAAGGGCAGATTTGTAAGCATGTTGGGACAGGGACTGAGCCTAGATTTGTTCAGTTTTCAGCAGAATGAGTCCATGATATTGATTAAGCTGATAAAGCTAAACATTAGGCAAAATATAATGTTAATAAAGAACAAGAACATTCTTTTAGCCTTTTTTATACAACACAGGACAAGGTATTAGGAATATCTACGTAGTTTATCATTTGAGATGCAATTATTAAAAACTTGAACAAACCTTAGTATGAAATCATTTTTCACTGTGAAATCAGTTTTAGAATACGAATTCACTGGATTTTTCTAAATCTAATTTCAAGCACCTGAGTTATATTTTATGTTTAATTGGAACACTTCTCATAAAAATGTTCCAGATTATATTTTCCAACAAGCAGAACCATAGGATATATTATTCTGTGTATGGTAGTGTTGGTACTAAAAAAATCAGAATTTACCAAAGCTAACTATTAACAATAAAACCTGTGTAGCTGGAGAAAGTCTCGCTTTGTCTAAATCTTAGGTTTACTGACAAGCAGAAATATAATTTCATCAGCTTTGGTGTACATGAGCTTTATTCTCAACCTAGTTATTAACCTCTGAAGAAGGAATACGACAAGCAAAAGTAGCCTTAAGAAGCCTACTGATACTCTATAAAACTTAATGCCATGAAATTAGAGAAGCATTCTGGGTCATGTAAGAACTGGAATTACTGGGACAACTGTAAAGAGTAAGATTTAGGGAAATATAGATCTGAAATGACTTTAAGGAGCACATGACCACAGATAAGTTTTGAAAGAGCCACTGTTGTTGTCTGGGTGCATCGACACATGAAATTAAGGTGGAACAATAAACTCTAATGCAGCTTGCACTAGAGTCGACTCCTCCTGGTGCAGTGTCTACACGTGTGCCTGGGACCGCAGCACTTTGAGCTAGGGCAGAGCAGCCCTGGACTGGCAGTGGGTCCAGGGAGTCAGCCCCAAACTCTGGGGTTGGGCAGCGGAGAGGCTGGCTGTGGCACAAGGGGGCTGAAGTGTGGGGCTAGGCAGCAGGCAGCCTCTGCACTTTAGCACCCTTGTGCCCCAGCCAGCCCATCACCCTCTACACATGCATTTTAGTGCACATAAGTACTCTTCTGTAAGACAGCATTGGGGGAGTACTATCTTATGGCAAAGTTAATTAATTTACTGTGCCCTAATACTGGCGCACATGTAGACGGTGACGCTTTACTTAGGAGCTAATTAGTCTACTCTGCAGTAAAGTGCACATGTAGATGCATTCTGTATGAAACAGAAAGTGAGGTCTAGACAGACTTGTAGAGAACCAAAGGCTGACGCATGGGAATATCAGGGGAGAAGCACTTAGCCCAGAAAAGAGGGAGTTGGGAAGGGTGATAAACTGAGGAAAAGGTCAGAAAGGTGGCTGCACAGAATCCTGGAAAGGGGTTTCCATAGTAAAGAATCCAGAGGCTTCATAAGAAGTGATCCTGAAAGAGAGAGAGAGACTTGGAAAAGGGCTGAGTTTGACAACAGACTGCCCGGAGCCTTGGGTCTCTGGACCAGACGCTCAGAATAGAAGAATGGAGGCTTTAAAAATCTGACATCCTGCATCAAATAGGACAAACCCTGAAAAACAAGAGGGCGTGAAAAGGAAACCACAGGCTATCGGTAGCACAGATGCTGTGTTCTCCTCCTGGGCTGCACACTATTTACAATAAAAGAGATGTAAGGCTACTAAGATTGGAGGAAGGACAATCTGATGAGATGCTGGATGGAAGTCTACTATTTTCCTAATAAACAGCTGACTCGCTGTGAAAGAGACCGCTGACTGTGTCCTATCTAACTCACCACTATGCAGCGCAACAGTGAATACTCAAGACTAACACCTGAAACAAGAGGAACTGAGACAGACATTACTGAAAATTTATAGAGGAATGCTTTTTATATATTTCACATGAAACCCTTTTGTACACTTAAAAAGATCATACCTTGTCCATAATGCCCATTGCCTTAATTTTCGCAGATTCACTACCCAGTTCGTTAAGCTGATGTTTTCCCAGTAGCAACTCCTGTGGAATCTCATCATCATCACCTTAAAAAGATTGCATCACATTTTCTAAGGTTTGAAAACATGTAAGCAGTATTTTTCATTCATGATTTTTAAAAATATGTGCCTAACATATTGCTACTAAAGAACTGACCAGGTTTTCCAATGTGTAGTGCCTAACAACTTGCATTAACTTACTAAAGCTGCTGCCACTTTAGTAGTATTTAAAAAATAGTTTACTTAGGTGCACAAATATGGATTTAAGAGTCTAATTTAAAAATAATTTTATAAAAACTCTAGGCTTTTTAAGAGGGTATAAACTTTTAAAAGGTGTAATTAAATAGCCAGTGATAACGAATAGGTTTATTTTACTTATCAGAGTACTGATTTACTTCAAACAAAGCAAAACTAAAGAAATACAGGTATAATGCTACATTAAATGATTTAGAGAAAAATAAAATTAAAATTCCATAAGAATCTTCTGAATACTTAATTGCCTAAGGCTATAACTAAAGCTGAGCAGGAAAGGGTTTTCTCAATCCCCTGAGAATTTATAATCTTGAAAAACGTTACCAAAGCAAGACAAAAATATCAACTTATTGCGAGTCAGTAATTGGTGGGGGGAGAAATCAGACCAGGTACCTCAAAACATAGTAATTCAATTTTGACTTTTAAAACAGAAAATAGAAACATTGCTTCACAAGTGTTGAAATGTGAATGTTTAAAAAATGAAAAACTTTCTAATCTGGAGCACTGGGATAAACTTTCTCTTTCCCAAATACCGTGTTTATTTGAATCTAAAACGAGGTTTGTTCTCACAGCATTGGGGGTGGGGAAGAGGGGGGAAATGACACCTCATCTTGGATTCAAGAAATAGCCCAAGGCAGACAGCAGTTCAGCTCCAGTTTTGGCCCCAGGTTCAGGGCTGAAGTGGAGCTGAGCCACTGCTGCCCCAGGCCAGAATGGCTTATTGGGAGAGCGCATGTGGCCAAGGGGGAAACTTACAACCCACCCCGACATCCCTTGCCCCCTGTCCCTAATGCCTGTCCCCCACAGCTGCTCCTTCCCCTCTTACCTTCTGCTCCAACTCTAGTCCCTCCCGCCCCAGCCCAGCTGGGTGCTACTGCCATTTTTCCTTAGTGGGCTGGATTGAGGCCCCTGCTGCTGACTGCCCCAGAGATAGACAGCAGAGCTTTACCAGAAGACAGGTGTGTGGGGAGGAGGGGTACAGGTGGTAGGGGCCTGGGACAGGCAGGCGGGTCACAGAGTGTGGGGGAAGGCAGGCTTCAGGGGCCAACAGGAGATGTAGGGGCAAGCTGCAAGGGGGGCAGGAGGTAGGCGGCAGAATCAGGCATAGGGAGGCAAGGGGTAGGGGGTCAGGCACAGGCATGGGTCAGTCAGCAAGGGAGCTGGCAGAAGGGGGTGCATGTTAGGGAGGGTAAGAAGCAAGGGATGGGG